TGCCAAGGTAACATCTACATCAGAAGTAAACCATATAGATGCAAATGTGCTATCTACATCTGAATTGGACCAAAAATACCTACATGAATACTAAATATGGATTAGTAAAGTATTATCATTGTTAGTGTGTACCTTATACAACAGTAAAACTTTAGCAGAAGTAAGACAGATACTTGTTTATGCTGCACTAGAACATAATATAAATTTATATTTATTGTTATAACATTGTGTGAGTTATTATCTACCAAAAACATTAGAGGCTCTGTATGGGTATCATAATGACGTGAACAAATTTCAAGGCAAATATAACAAATCATTTTCTGTAATCAACAAATGAACAAACATTTGTATAAACTATGGAACGAGACATGTAGTGAGTGACCATCTTTTTTTCTTTTTTTTTAAAGATTTGCATGAAAAGAATGAAAAAGAAATTGAAACCAATTATTTGCTGCCATTTGAAGACTTGAATGATGAAGACACAGAATTCCAACATTTAAAAAAATGTAACTACCAACATAACTAAAATTACCTGGATATAACCAACTTTAAATAAAAACAGGACAATATTCGAACAGTCAATATTTGTTGACCATAACTAACAGCTGAGTGGCAACAATAAACAGTATTAGCTACTAATAGCCAATATTCATGTAAACAACAGACACAACATTAGTTAAACACAACGTAAGCTAAACTTTGGTGAAATGTTTGTTAGAAATAACCAAAATGTTTAGAGAATATAACCAACATTATTAGCCAGACATGACCAACATTTTGGGAACACAAACATAAGATTAACAAGCCAATACAGAATCTGCTGAAAATACAAATACAACATATGAAGCCAATATAACATGTGAACATTACCAACTTTTAACTCTTTGAGTCCCAGTGGATTTAGCATCACAGGCCCAAGGGGTAGTCAAGAGAGACGTAAAATCGGCGCATCATGCGTTTATTGGGCCTCTAGGTAGGAATCTATGAACGTATGATGCGTTCCTTGGGTCTCAAAGAGTTAAAGCATAGATATCTTTGCTGAACAAATCCAACATTTGTTTGACAAGCTACCACTGGATGAAAACACACATTATTTCCCCCCCTCCACCTAAAGGCCAACATTAGTTTAATACAACTAAACAACATTTTCTTAAATACACAGCCAATATTATGTTAACATAGTTCACCAACATTAGTCGAGAACAGTTTTTTGTTTTTTTGAACAGGCAAAACTAGCTGGAAAAAAACCCAGGTTAGCTGAACTCTGCCAACAGAGATCAACATAACCCAACATTAGTTGAAAGCAGTCAACACTGATTGAAAATATGTCCAACATTTGCTAAATATACCCCAAAAAAAAACAAGTACTGGACAAATGCTACACTATGAAAGACTTGTCAGTGTTCAGATCATAAAACAGCATGATGGCTGATAGTCTAGTCTTTGTACACACGTATAAACATTGCTAATCTGCAAAGATATATGTGACTGAAACCTTGTGGGGAGGGGGGGAAGGGGGGGGGTGGTCAGGTATACCCATATGGCAACATACAATAATACAGCATTGCTGTTTCAAGGTTTTTTTAAACCAGTGCTTCTCAACATATGGTTTGCAACCTCTTTTTGGGTCAAACAACCATTTCACAGGCTAAGATGAACAATTAAACAGTCAAAGAGTGTAACCTCTGACATGTGACAAAGCCTGAATTTACAAACCTATTGAAGCAGGCAAAGCACTTACATATGGTGATTGAGGTAATAATACTTCCTCACTAAATACAGTGACCAGGTTTTGATTGATTTCTCAGACGCTAGAGTATGGTAATGTGAGGCTGAATGGCCAGTTATTTGATGTCACTGTTGTCAAACATAGAATCGAACTCTTCACAGTAGACACACAGAGAGGTTAAACCCTTCCACCTCTTCCAATAACTGAAGACGATACTGAGATAAACACCTAACAAACAAACAAAAACTCCTCATAAAGCCATATAATTTGGATGTCTTATTTTTTTCTAAGAAAACATAACCAAGCAACTTTTTTCATTCTCTTATTAAATCAAGTGCTTAAAATCATACCCACTATGAAGTTGAGAAAATCTGGCAAATGTGTACTAATGAAAACCTTTGTTTATTTATCCTGGCAAAGCTATGAAACCAAAATACCTGTATAAAGACTAATCCTTAGGAGTAACTACTTCACAAGCTCTGTTAAACAGCAATAAACAAGAACTATGGCACAACAGCCAACTTCACATTTCATGAGCATGCATCATTCTTGTTGCAGCATGCAAATGGTGAAATATACATCATTTTTTTCTAGAACTGAACATAACTCTGTCGCAACAAATTTTAAGAGTACCACAGATCCAACAAGAAAAACAAATGTTCTCATACTCAACAAGATCTGAAAATCAAACGAAACATCTAAGAAACTAACAACAATTTGATCAAATGTTGGTTAAAAATGAACTAGTGGAAGTACGGTTCTTGGAAGACAGTGCAGGGGGCTGACCAGTGAGTTGGTGAGCACAAGACACCTGCAGTATGAACATGCATGAGGTTTAGGAGCAGGCAGAGGATCAAGAGCCTTGTTAGTGCACTGTGGCAAGACTGATTACTTGTTTATGAATCGACATCACGGTACATCAGGCATACTCACAGATGCTCTGTTACCCGAAGCAAATATCTGAGGGTATAGATGCTAACTGTTCCTTTAGAACAGTGACTATACTTATGTCATTCTTTTCCTCTCATACATCACTCCCTAACTGATCCACATCAGATTACTAGTTCCCACATTCGGTTATTTCATGTAACTCATGTATTTTATCAACATTCATTCAGAAATGGTCGTTAGAACTTCCCCTTTGTCCAGTACGAGTGTTCCTGTTGCTATCTCTTTTGTAGTCAACATATCTGCTTTTGTCCTCCTTGTACTCCTGCAAATCCTGGACAGTATATCCAGGGGTATAATGTAATGTTAACTGTAATGTTAACCTGCTGACGCCTGTATCCACTTGGGCTACATTCACCCTGGTTGATGCTTGTATCCATTCATGCTACATTCATTCACCCTGGCTGATGCTTGTATCCACTTGAGCTACATTCACCCTGGCTGATGCTTGTATCCACTTGTGCTACATTCACCCTGGCTGATGCTTGTATCCACTTGTGCTACATTCAGCCTGGCTGATGCTTGTATCCACTGTGCTACATTTACTCTGAACCTTCCACAGTACAGCCTGAGAATCAGACACTATCATTCCTCTTGCAACAAGACTGAGGTTCTGCAATTTGACAGTGTTGTTGGAACCAATCTTGCTTATTCCCATCATCATTTGCTTGGTAAGTTATCTCAAAATTATCCTTAGAAAAAAAAAATGTGAGTTGTACAAATTAACAATAAGTCCATGCTTGCTTTTATTTTCCTATTTAGATTCAATACTGTTAACAAACAAGTAGAGACAGGTTTTAAATTAGGCTAGATATTATATTACCAATCTCAGAATTGACCTTAATCTTAGAAACTGTAACTTAAAAGTTAGTCACTAATGCTATATAATCAATAAAAGTAAATTAGAGATTACACAACTGGTTTTCAAACTGGGAAAAGAAGCTGAAAATTATAATATAAACGTAAATGTTATTCTAAACATGAAAGATGTTTCATTACACATTATTTTAGAAGTCAGTCATGATAATTATGTTAAAAATCTTAGACATCTGATACTCTTAAAATAGAAAGCGGGTAAGAAACTGTAGGAATACAACTGCAAATATATTATCTGTAGATGTCAGAAATATCTTCTTAAGAAGGTCTCTTATTGATCAGAGAACAGATAACACAAACATTCAAATAAAGTTAGAATATGATATGCCAGATTGCCTGACAGGTTGATTTAGGCACTGTAGGTGTGAAATATACACAACATAACAAAATAATTTATTTCTCTAATGCATTTAACAACATACAACATAACAACAATATAGCTCATTTCTCTTCAGACAAAGTAAGATATTCTTGTAATAAATTTCTTATTTTTGTGTGTGGCTCTTTTGGTTACTTTTAAAACTGCCTTTTAAAATGCCAGTTCTAAAAGTTTTTACATGGTACACTATATGTGCATCACAAAAATACTAGCCTAATTTAGCCTAATTTAGCTATGTTTCTTATCTGGCTATTAATTGATCTGTAGCAGTGCCCACATTTTTGTTGTTGGGGGGGGGGGGGGTGTGTCCAACTGTGTACAAATATTAGGCTCAAAATAAAATATTTTTTAAATAAAGCCATTTAAGTGGCTAGATTTTAATTAAACTGCATGACTACACCCAAGAGTGGTTTATTCTTTTCATTTTGATAGTTTATATTTCCTCAGCCGCATCACGATCATCAGCCACCATTGTTTCTTTGACAGACATATCAGGGTTTATATTTGCTCAATTAGTTTTTTTTAGCATCATCAAAAGTTGATGTTTCTTGACAATATCTGGTCATTGTAGACAACTTCATTTTTTTTAATATGGTCAAGATTTCTTGACCTGGCCAAGATTTGACATTTAACATTTTCGAATACCATAGAAACAAGAGTTTTCTAAATTTTTCATGTTCATGACATACTTTTACCAAACATAATTTTGAGACAAAAATATTCTTCTAGCACACCAAACTGAACTAACATTTTATAAAGGGGTTACATAAATATAAACTGTAATGACGGAAACGTTTCTGGTGACACACCTTTACTCTAATGTGTTGTGACACAGTGCGGAAAGCTTTGTCCTACAACTATAAACAGAATTTCTTAACAAGATAAATAATTTATATCAGAATTTCTTGAAATGGACAAGAATTCTGGTCAAAATTTCAAAAGCGTAAAACTGCCTTCCGTTAAACTTTATGATGCATGCATCCACATTTGTCAGTCAGATTCTTAACAGTTGGACAATAGACCTGAAAACTATTACACAAATTCTATCAAACAAAGAAATACTGTTGGTCAAATGGGACTACAGCTACTACTTGTGGGGCTTAGTTTTTCTGAATCACTTGTTACAATTTCATCACCGGAGTCTGAACACTTCTCACCAGAGAGGTTTTTCTCAAAGTCCAGCAGCTGGCCCATAAATGTGAAGTTGGGAGATATATTTGGCTTGCATAACTTCACGTGGTCATAGGCCTGGTTGAGGGACATGTTTTGCCTGCTCATGAGGTAGGCCACTGTGATGGTCACTGATCGACTGATCCCGGCTAAACAGTGAACCAGGACACCCTTCTGTCTAGTTCGGGCTTCGTCTGTGGAGAAACATAAAATACCAATATGATAACACATATGCCTTGTATTGCGTTTAAATTTGTATAATAACATACTCGTTGGCATTTTCCTGTTGTTTAAATCTTTTGATCTGTGGATTCCAGTGAAAGGCCTGCTTGTTATACTAAAACCATAAGACCACTATTTGACCCTCAAAATAAATCACTGAAACTTTTTGCAGGCATACACCCAACAGGGTTCTAAATATGGTGAGATTATAAATACATTAAAGGGAACCATGGTAGTGAAGCACTAAAAGCTTAACTCCCAGCCTAAAGGTTGAGGGTTCAACTCCACAATGTGCTGACTTTTCTAATAACTGACAAAGGGATCCCAGGTGGACCCAGACCAAAATGGGTACCAGGAAATGTACTGAGCAATAAAGGCAACCACAATCATGTTGACACATCAATATCTAGTGCTGTTTCAACATTATCTTGTGGTGCCTTTAAATATCACACAGGGCTGACAGTTTATTCTTCCACTCTGTTTTATCATGTGCAGTTATTTTCATGTCATGCATGGAATCCAGTTGTTAGTTCAGTCAAGGACCCTTTTCCATGGCTTCAGGCACATTGGGCCTGTAATTGTGGACCTTTATTTTATAGACCAATCGGCACTCAGTGCATGATGTGGTAAACATCATGCCGGCCACCTTTACTTCCCAGGACTTTGACTAGTACCTTCTTAAGGCTGACTTTTATTTACAAGACTTGCAGAGCTGTAACAAACAACTGTCAAAAATCTCACTGATATAGGGAAAGGTTTCACAAAAATAGGATTTAAAAAATAACTAGAAACAATATGTCAAAAAATTATTGATCCCAAGTAATATATATATATATATACACACACATGCAATGCCTTCCCTTTCAAGGGCGGGGGGGGGGGGGGGGGGGGGGCAAAACCAATGCCCCCGAATAATTTAGGCTAATTATGGGTGTTTCCTTAAAAATCAGACTGCAACTGTCTGAGATGATTGCAACCAACAGTCTACATACAATCATGCCAGATCTGACAACCACAAGAGGGGAGGAAGAGGCAGCGGCAGAAGAAGATGGGAAAAGGGGGGGGGGGCATTACTAAGAAATAATACCATATATCACAGATTCTTCTTCTTTTTTATACTTGATTAGTGTTTGAGGAAAGCTCTTAAATGTATTTTCCCTTCTTAAATAAACCACTTCTATGAAATTACCAATAAAACAGAACAACAACAAAAGAACTATTATGTTATACCAAAAACGTGAACTTCCCACACATATTTTGCGTCATCCGGACAGATTTGCGAATCCAAAAATACATGGAGATATGACATCAACCTACTTTAACACGACACCGGATGTAAAAGTGGTGGCATTTTGTTCCGATCAATATTTCTAAAGCCACCGGCATTTCGGTGGTAGATTCCGCGATGAAGAAATGTTTGATTGGAGACAAACTGAGCTCCCATACTTAAAACAACATGTAAGGCAAGCCGAGGTATCACATATATTAAAAAGAATTGGAACGCTATTAAAATAAAAAAAATAACATAAAAATCCCTGCTCACGCCTGAGGGGCATCGGGCGTATGAAAAGAGCATCCCATATTTTTACAGACCAATCGGCACTAGGTAGGTAATGTGGTCAGCATTACGCCAGTAATCTTTACTTCCCCAGGACAGCCATCCTGGTACCCACCCTAGGCTGTGGCGACCTGCAACTCCCCATACCATGATCCAAATCTACGCATATTAGAATATATCATAAAAAATCAACACAGTTTCAACTCACATAAGTAAAAGAAAAGGACACAACTTTCAAAGACACAACAGTATAAGAATGGAAACCTATAAATGATAGACATATTGTGTCAAGATGGTAATTGAAATACTTCTTCTGGTTCCAGCTCAAGTTTTCCGGCCCATCCACACACTGCCTGAACTTTCATTCATACTTTCTTAGACTGTTCTATGTCAGAGGGGTGTCACGCAGTCGTGCCTCCAAATACGTCGGCGCCGATGTCTCGTGTTCTAGACTACACAACGACACATCTTTCAACGGCACCAGAACATACAGAACTGGCCCTAACCCTACCCCCCCCCCCCACCCACATCCTGAGCCTAGCTCACACGTGACACTTTTTTTTTAAATAAAGCATTACAACGTGACACCCCTCAGACCTAGATCCAACTGAGAAAGTGTGTAGATGGGCCTGGAAACGTGAACAGGTCCTTTCTTCTTTTAAGTCAAGGCACTGTGTCCGTTTACAGCAAGATTAGGGCATGTGGCCGACACATCCGACTTTTTTCAGGCATTTGTTGCCTGGGTTAGTACGTTTAAGTTGGGGTTCTTCTGTTTCTTCTTTTTTGTAGTGCTGACCGACTGTAAACTCGGTTGTTGGTACACTCCTGGACTTCATAGTTCCAGAACTTGAGATTTGCGTGTATAATCGTTTTACAGATCTAGCTCTTTATACGCAGACTGTTGGCTCCTTGCTCCTCATGCTTCTTTGACACAAACTATTTGTTGTTTTTTTTTCTTATCCTTTTACTTCTCTCCCTTATAATACCCTACCCCCTTTTTTAAACTAGAACAAATGAAGTAATGGTTTGGGTGCTCTTTTTCTAGCCGACCTCAAATGACGTCACGGAACAATCCAATATTTTAAAGGGTGATAACAGCAGGTTTTCCGTATTTTCTATGCTTTCGCGCGTTTCTTCCAAGGCCAAGGTTTCGGGCGTTTACCTAACCCAAAGTCAAACTAACCAAAACTGTATGCTTAGTCTACCACCCCCTGAAATAGTTGACTGTCCGTCCCGTGACCTGTGGTTGTCTCCAGTTTGTGATCAGGTTAAAAAAAAAAAAAAACATTTTTTCAGTCTCAGGACAATGGCTAAACCACAAGAGACGTCGTATTTTAGAAAGCTAAGAAATGCCACAAGTAAAGTGCCATAGTAGCAGACATCCATGTTTATATCCCATTTGTCTTCTCACACCGTGTCCTCGACATTGTCGCCAGATCCGTCATCTCTTGGGAACTACGCGCCCACTCCATCAGACGATCGTGCCATCGGGTCATTAGTGCCACGTCTGCATCAACAAAGCTGGCTGTTTCCATGGAAACAGGGTTTTCCCGGGATAATGTCCCTTCGTCAAGACAAGGGAGACGCTAGCCTTCCCCCCCTTTTTCTTCTCGCATCACATACAGAAAAAAAAAACCAGAGAGGGGTTCTTTTCTGTTATTTCACCACATCCCGCTGGCTTCTAGATTTTGTTTGGAAATTCCCAGACCGTCCCATAGTGTAGGAGAGCAACGCCGTCTCTAATAAACAGAGAAGGCCGGGAGGGGTGTTAGGGTTAGGGCTAGTCTTAAATGAATAGCGACTACTACCAAGCCTTACCCTAACCTCCCTACTTTTATTGAGCGGTCTGGGGATTTTCCTACCAAATCTCGAAGCCGTGATGTGGTGAAATAACAGAAAAGAACCCAGAAAGGTAGATGGACACGGTGGACAACATAAAAAGCGAAAGCTTAGAGTCACCGTGCCGGGAACCGAACCTGTCACTTCCAAACGACGAAAAGACACACTTGACAACAGTATGGTCCCATATATCTGCTATATGACCAATGCTTGTTAAATATAAATTGCTGAATTCTTTTATTTTATTACATCCCATCTCGGGGATTCTGAGATTTCGTAGGGAATTCCCGGAAAGTCCAATAGTATAGGGGTGTAGGGGTGCGAAATAAACACCGACTCCTTAATTACCCCCCCCCCCCCTTTTCCCCAATACAGCCAATACGTAACTGGACTGTTTCATTGCGTCCACACTCACTCCATTTTCTATCCATCCATACGAGGGAAAGAGCCAGATAGGCAGGAGGGGTATATCCAGACGATCTGACACACATCCCCTGGATTATCTGGTCTTTTCCTGCCATTTTCACGTCCCAGCATCCCTCGCTCCTATCTGGCACCCAACTGTTGTTTCAGTAGCTACAGGTGCCTTACTTGACACGTTCCATAAACAACACAACACTATGATTTCTACCAAGCGATGTTCCTCATGTTGTTTGTCTGACAACTTACTCACAGAACAGGGGAACAAAAATCCCTCCACATCAGTGTTTCCTAAACTGTTCTTAGTCGCGGCGTTTTATTTTTAAATTAAAATTTTTTCACGGCGCCCTAACCTAAGTAAAGGTATGACTATCCGTATGTAAGAGATTAAATTTTCCAGTATTTCGCTGTGCCCCTGTAAAGAGGTCACACAGTTTGGGAATCACTGCTCTACCCTCATTTTGCAAACAGCCGCAAATGTTCCTCTTTCTTAAAAAGGTACAAGGTTACAATCGAAAGGGTCGACCTTATTGCACAAGATTTGAACCCATATGGATTGGCTTCTCTACGAAGAAAAAGGGAGCGACCTGCACAGAGCTCCGCAAAGAGCAAGGACTCCGCAGCTTCGGCGACGATCCCTGGGGATCTCCTTAAAAAACTGAACTTATGACCCGAAATAGGCAACAAGTGAAACGAACACACGACCTTCAGAGCGCGATGCAAACGGCGTGACTACTTCGCCACGGAGATGCCTGACTGTAATAAGATATGTGTGATTCTTGGCTGTTTATACAAATCTATAGATGATTTGTGGTTGGTTTATAAAAATCTATGTGACACTTGTTTGGTTATAATAATCTATAGGTATTGACTGTTTGACCGTATAATACAGGCGTGACCGCTGATTGTTTACAATTATCAATACATGTTTCCTGTTTGATCACTATAGTTTAAGGGGCTGCGTGGTCTCGAGGCATGGTGTCCGCCTCGAGTGCTAGAGGTTCCGGGTTTTATCCCCAGTAAGGGCTGGGAATTTGTCCTGTGGACTTGGACTTATAGTCAATTCCCCCTGGTCTCCGGGTAGTGAGATCGGACGCCCGTGTGTATTGTTGCCCACGTAAAAAATCCCTTGGCAGTTGGAAATCATAAAGAGTAGCCTAACAGCCCTTCTCGGGGAAAAATTTGGAGTTGGGAATCTACCCTAAGTGTTTCAGAATGCTCACCGGTGCTACAGAGTTTACACTGTGCTGAGCTTCTTGGGATTCAGACGAGTGAGAAGAAGAACCGAGCACTTATGGGTTACTATCCGTGTGCCATGATGTTGATCCGTTGTTCAAACCTCAAATAATTTATATGTGATCCCTGACTATTTATAATAATACGTACGTGTTTCGTGTTTTGATCATTATCTATTCGTGACTCCTGGCTGTTTACAACATTCAGTGTCTTTTCTTGATACTTGTCCTATTCATGTTTTTCGTAATGACCCTCTCGGTATTTGGTTTTTCTGTCAACAGTTTTACTTCCCCTCATGATTCACTGCATGCACCTTGAACCTTCCAACAAACTACAAGGTCACCACGAGCCCTACCCTACCTCTCTATACATCTTCTTCTCTGTGTGTGTGTGTGTGTGTATGTGTTTGTGTGCGTGCGTATATGCTGCGGCGGAAAGTTCTGGTTGTTCATTCACCTATGGACTTAAGGATTTGTTCCAGAACTGAGCGTTGAGTGCCCATCCATGTTATAAATCTGACTTATCTGAATGCAGACTGTTGGTTTCGTGCCTCTCAGTCATATGCCCCCTGACTTCGAAAAAAAATCTACTCTTGTGACATGCTTACTGTTGAGGCAGTTGGTCTACTCTTGTTTTCCCCACAATGGGGCCGTGGAACCCACACGGTGAATATGTTTATATGAAATAACATGCTTTATTGATAAAATACAGCTGCTGTATGGAAAATGGGTGTTTGAAAGGGTCGTATTCGAAACGGGCCTGCGTACCCAATATGTGACCATTTGAAAATAAAGTTTGTTCGCTCGTTTTTCCTCGCTTCAGCCTGTCTTCTCCACCCTTTTGTTTATTGCACATATGGACTTCAGGTGGAACGTATTTTCAGGCGCGAAACAAAGAAACCTATTTATAGCGCTGCGAATTGCGAAATTTAGACGACTCACAGACGCACTCATGGACGATTGTGTCAGCAGATGGCGTCTTAAAACAGACGTATGGATTAAATGTCTGACAACATCAGGTCTACTTGGTTCTTACAGCCGAAACCCTATACTTACCGTTTGGTATGCATCGTCAGAGAAGACCTGGCACGTAGGAAACTATTGCATATTTTCAGACTTTAAAAGCTGTCAGATTGGCTGTTTGTGTATACATTTTTCTCCCCAATCGGTCTATGGTGTTTTATTAAATGAAATCCCAGCTGATATAAAAGGGTTAGGCCTCTACATATCGGCGCATCTATGTTCTTATTGTCTATTCTTTACACGCCATCTATTGGCGTCTGTGGCTTAGGCGTTGCAACGAGCCCTCATAATGTCGGGGTGAAGGTTCGATACCAGCTGCGGGTCTTGCACCTTGCGCTGGTTTCGACAGTGGTATCGAGAAGCAAACTACTGGACGGAAATTTGCCAAGAAAAACCACAACAGCAAAAAAAAAAAAAAAAAATTTGCTGGAGTTTGTTTCTGCAACGTCATGTGAAGGATACACAACTAACCTTTTTTTTTTTTTTTCCACATGGCATACACTTCAAATTGCTCAGTCAGTAAACAAAAAACGCTAGTGGCCATTATTTAACATTTATCGAGTAAAATCAGTTAGTAACCAAAAAAAGAAAATTAATCTTTAAGATGGATGGCTTCAGAAAAAAACAATATGTTGGGGGCGGCAGGAGGGGGCGCGTAAAATCGAACTTCATTATAACAACTAGGAAGCTGCCGTGGTGTAGTGGCTAGATGCTAACCTGCAGATTGGACGGTCGTGGGTTCGGGTCCTAGCATAGCCATCTTTTTTTCCAAAAACGACCTTGGCTTCCAGGTTGATGCCACCTTAAATGGGTACCAGGTACAGTCCTGGAAAGTCTTCTTCTTCTTGGCGTTCACCAGCTTTACACTCTGGCGGAAAGTGATCGTTGCTCGTTCATTACTGAACTGCAGTCCTGCTCCAGAACCTGAGTTGCGTGTGCATCAGTTTTACAGATCTCATTCTCTTGAATACACTGTTGGTTCCTTGCCTCTCCGGCAGATGCACTCCAACTTCAAAGGAAGCTCCCCAATTAGTCGACTCTTACAACATGCTTTTGTGGAGGCAGTGGGTCTATTCTTGTTTTCCCCACAATGGGGCACCGGAACCCACACGGGGGTCCTGGGAAGTAAAAGTGGCTGGCATGATGTTGACCATTTCCAACAAATACTGATTGGTCCATAAAATATAGGTCTAGCACTATGTGCCCAATATGCCTAAAGGCGTAGACAAGAGTCTTTTTACTATACTTGACTAGCTGACAACAAGAAACAGGTACTCACCGATAAACTGGATTGCTTGTGGGAAAAAGGAAGACAAGTTCTGCGACCAATGATCTGAGATGGGTATCTGCAAATATCTGAAGTTCTTCTCTTTCTCGAACATGTTGGGCACGTTGGTGGTCACATTCAGTATATGGGTGATGCCGTACTTCCTCAGCTGGGTCAGATCAGCGGAGTTCTTGGCACAGCCCAGGTAGAGGAAGGGGAGCACCTGGACGGGGAAGGGGCAGTGCATGGGGCTGGAAGTGCTGCAGGTGGACACTGTCTCGCTGTCCGGGAATTTGGGCTCGTCAGATATTCTTAAGTTACACAGACCCATAATGTTGCTCTCCTGATCCAAACTCTGGCAGTATTCCGGAAATCTCTCTTCAAATGTTGAGAAGCCACCTGTTTGTCGAAATATAACAGAAATTGTTAGAACATAGCAGAAGCAGCACCAGCAGAGGTAGTGGTGTGACAAGGTATTAAACCAGAGATAGCGGTAGTGGCAGAGGTAGTGGTAGTGGCAGAGGTAGAGGTAGTGGTAGTGGCAGAGGTAGTGGTAGTGGCAGAGGTAGAGGTAGTGGTAGTGGTAGAGGTAGTGGTAGAGGTAGTGGTAGAGGTAGTGGTAGTGGTGTGACAAGGTATTAAACCAAACGAATAGTAGAGCAGCGAGTTTTACACACACACACAAAACACAAACGGAAAGTGAACGTTGCGACTAGACAGCTTTCATCAGCGGATTACATTTAAAAAAACACGAAAGTACAGAAAAAATACACAAAAATCACTTAGCTGACGTATTCCTGACAGCAATTCCTGACATTTTTGTCAGGTCACTGAATTAATTTAGTAGTAGTAGTAGTAGTAGTAGTAGTAGTAGTAGTAGTAGTAGTAGTAGTAGTAGTAGTAGTAGTAGTAGTAGTAGTGGCGTTAGTGATAGTGATGATAGTAGTAGTAGCAACATTCATCCCAATATGTTCACCCTGTTTGAGTTGTAATGTGGGATTTTAATAATCGATATTTTCACTTCAGATAATTTACTTCATCCCCGTGTGGGTTCCATGGCCATATTGTGGGTACAACAAGAACAGACCCACTGCTTACACACAAAGCATGTCGTAAAAGTCGATTAATTGGAATATTACAGAAGTCGGAGTTCATCTGCCTGAAAGGCAAGGAACCAACAGTCTGCATTCACATTAATCAAATCTGTAAAATGGATGTGCCCGCAAAACGCAGATTCTCGAATATGACTAGTCTAGAAGTGGACCAACAAGCAGACCTTTCCGCCTGTTTACAGCCAATAAACGCGAAAAAGAAGCAGAAAAAGAAGAAGAAGAAGAGGAAGAGGAAGGCGGAAGAAGAAGAGGAGGAAGAGGATGAAGAAAAAGAGGAGGAGGAGGAGAAGAAGAAGAAGGAGGATGAAGAAAACGAAGAAGAAGAAGAAGAAGAAGAAGAAGAAGAAGAAGAAGAAGAAGAAGAAGAAGAAGAAGAAGAAGAAGAAGAAGAAAAAGAAGAAGAAGAAGAAGAAGAAGAAGAAGAAGAAGAAGAAGAAGAAGAAGAAGAAGAAGAAGAAGAAGAAGAAGAAGAAGCTTTTGTTTCTGTCTTGAGCCGTTAACTGGTCAGTGAAGTATTTCTTCTTGCTATCCGGTTAGTGTGTTGGAAAAATAATTGACAAACGCTGGAGCAGAAGCAGAAGCAAAAGGCAATTAGCCTGAGCGCAACACTACCTTTGCCTTGGTTCTCCATCTATCACACAGCTGGGCGTGACCTTGTAGCACGCAGGGACACAAATCTACACATACACACATACAGGAGAACCAGAGCCAACTAGTCAAATCCGGCCCAGCGTTCAAATCAGGTCACCAATTCACCCTGCCTAATGTCTAAGTGAATGAATTATCGATCGATTCCCAACTTTTCATAGCTTCGGGTTGTTGCGTGGGAGAGACCATTTTTAAAGCCAAAAGCGACATTAATTATACTAAAATTGATTACTTACACGCACCTTGCTATTCCGAAATGATAGAAATCCTAATGGCAGTGCTAGAAGTGGAGTGAAACCCAGATTACTGTGACGCCAGCCATGTCACCCCAGCTTACCCCCCCCCCACCCCCTCTCCGGGAGGCCCCTCACCACCCGTTAAAAAAAAGGTAAAAGTAATCTTAGTCTCCCCAGACCCCAAGCTATATTCACACTAGCTCACTTCTGATTGGTACCTGAGCTCCGTGACCTTCGCACAAGGTTACGGGGGTGTTTAGCAATGCCGCTGCTACCATGAATATTTACTGCACTGACTCCACCCTGTTTATTTACTGCACTGACTCCACTATGTTTATTTACTGCACTCTCAACACTGTTTATTTACTGCACTGACTCCACCATGTTTATTTACTGCAGACTCCACAGTGACTTATCCCTGCACTGACTCCATCATGTTTATTCACTGCACTGACTCCATCATGTTTATTCAGTGCACTGACTCTACCTAGTTTATTCGCTGCACTGACTACACCACGATTATTTACTGCAGTGACTCTACCACGTTTTTTTTTTCTTTTTACAAAACTGTCAATATTTACAGTACTGGCTCTGCAATGTTTATTCACAGCACCTTCACAGCCGCAAAAACATAGTATTGAATGGAATGGAACACCTGTTTACAGAACTGACAGTATAGCCAATTTAAGCGTTTTTCCACCTTTTTTTCTTACTGACAGACAAAACTTAGGAAACTTTAATAAAGTGCCTAACAGCTTACAAAAAATATACTTAGGTAGAAATTCATGTGTTTAATTCCATGTCACAAAATTACAATTTTTATCTGCCGTGACATCTGCTGGTGGTTACGGGTTGTGAAATCTGTGCAGCAATGTAAGTTCTGAAGACATCCAGATTCAGGAACGACAAGATTAGGCGGGAAAGAATGGAGGCTCAACAGTGGAAAAACACCCGTCTTTACTGATCGAATAAAAATTGTCATTTGTTCCAGCTCTGTTGTCGTCAGTGCAGCGATCACACTGACCCGTGTATTGATAGCTCTAAAGGTTATGAAGGCACTCCTCGCAGTCAACTGCTATCAAAACTGGAAAGGCATGTGGCAATTATTGACACTAATTTGTTGGATCCTCATATTTGAGAGGAGATGGATTGAAGGCAAAGACTGACTTAGCTTGTTTCGGTTTATATCAGCTCATTTATTTCATGGATTGTTGGATTGATGGAATGTTTGGTGGATGGATAGATGGATCTGTGGGTTGACTGATAGATCTGTGGGTTGACTGATGGATCATTTGGTGGGTGGATTGGATTGGTTTGTTGACTGATGGATTGTTTGGTGGGTGGATTGATGGATCATTTGGTGGGTGCATTGGTGGATTAATGAATCTGATTGATAATTTGGTGGGTGGATTGATGGATCTGTGGATTGACTGATGGATCGTTTGGTGGGTGGATTATATTGGTTTGTTGACTGATGGATCGTTTGGTGGGTGGATTGATGGATGGATTGATGGATCATTTGGTGGATTAATAAATCGTTTGGTGCGTGAATTGATGCATGGATTGGTGGATTGATGGATAGATTGATGGATCGTTTGGTGGGTGGACTGATGGATGAATTGGTGGACTGATGGATGAATTGATGGATCATTTGGTGGATTAATAAATCGTTTGTTGCGTGGATTGATGGATAGATTGATGAATCGTTCGGTGGGTGGACTGATGGATGAATTGGTGGACTGATGGATGGATTGGTGGACTGATGGATCATTTGGTGGGTGGATTGATGGGCGGATTTGTGGGTTAACTGATGGAGTGATGAATCGTTTAGTGGGTGGATTAATGGATCGGTTGGTTTGATGACTGATAGACTTGTGGATCGATGGATGGTTTGGCTGTGGACTGATGGATGGATTGGTGGGTTGACTTTTGACAGACTGGTGGGTGGATGGATTATCAAATGGAGTAGTGGGTGGATATTTTGATGGAATGATTGATGGATGAACTAGTGAATTGATTGATGGAATGCCTGGTGGATTGACAACTGGACTGACGAGTGGATTGCTGGATGAACTGACGGATGGATTGATGGATAACTGGTGGGTTTATCGTGGATAAACTTTAAAGGAGAAAATGAAAAGCAGACACACAGAGTCCGAGGTGTAGATGGACCAGTTACTCACCGAGCAGAAACGAAGCACGGCAGTCATCCTGTCGGAGTTTTTTCACCAACAAATTAATCACAGATGCCGGATTGGCGTTGAGCTCAGTGGAGCACTCGTCGTACAGGACGATGGTGGCCGTTTTGGAGTGCTTAGAAAATCGTTCTTTAGCTTCGTTGTTCTGTATCACCGAGCAGATGTTGAGGTTCCCTCGCTTGAGTCGCTTCATCATCAGCGAGGGCAGGGTGATGTTGATAGCCCCACGGACGTGAGACCGTGTGTACTCAGGCTGGGACCGACAGTCGATGAGGAGCAAGTTTTTGGAGTTCTTGCTTATCTCATCCCGAAGTCGATCAGGGCAGCAGAAGTCGCCGAATTCTGTGGTCATGTCTCTAATGAATACGTCTTTGCAAGGCATCTGAATATGTAAAACAGAATAAAGATCTGGTGGGTAGGATTCACAGCACTCCGTTAAGTGTCCACTTTATATGAATGAAGATCCACAAATCGGTAAAAACGATGAATAAATTAATACAGATTAATCTGAAACGCGACGAATGTCACAAATCACGATATAATCGCTTCAGAACACGAACTCGGACAGTATCCAAGTAAGAACTTAATTATTAAAGCTACTTTTGCCAAACTCAGTTTTCCTTACTTGAGCGGGGTAGAGTGGATTGTAACGGCTATAGAATTCTTGTCCTGAATCTGGTTTACGCAATGAAGAATTAACAATATGGATTTGTACAAACTATACACGTTTACATCAGTTGTGGAGGGTCTGATGAAGGAAAAAAAAGCCTGGGAAATGCTATTCGTTCTCGTTGGTACAAGCAACAAACATTTTCGTCAATTACCTATTTATTTACATTCAACGGGAGAGTTCTTAACCATTAGTTCCTTCGGCTCCCAGGTTTTCCTCATACTGCCGTGCGAGGGCAACCCGTTATTATAGCCAGCCTGCGAGCCCAGGCCTGGCCGCTCGGCTGTATCGCGCTGGGCCAACCACAGTTTTAGCCCCGCCTACTACGCATTTTTTCTTTTCCTGACCTCATGAATAAGTAATTACGCCTTTAGAAGATAGCCAATCGCTGGCGAGAACGTTTACGTTATGGGCTAAAAATAAACAGACAACGTCATTTCTGGTTCAAAGGGGAGGTGGGGTGGGGGTCTAGGCTCATACAACTTAGGCATGGGTCAAAGGCTAGCTTAGGCCTTCTGTGAATGGGCTCATGTCATGCGTTCAAGGCTGGTTCAGAGACAGCCGGAGGAACATCTAAGGTCGACTTGTGTTTGATGTAGTGTGTTGTACCGACTGTGTCTTTATTAGAGTAGTGAATCGGTACTTCACTGGGTCAGTACACGTTTTTTTCTGGACATTGGGCACCATCACTTAGGCTGCCGCATTAACGCGAGGAGTAGTCGCTCGCCTAAAAGTCTCGGCTTTCTGCGTCAGCTCGGGATATTTTCTCTCTAGCAGAAAGTTATGATTGTTCGTCCACTTCTAGACTTTGGTCTTGTTCTAGGCTTTGCGTTTTGCACGCACACCTGTTTTACGGGTGTGTCTTATTTGTATGGGTTCCTTTCTGTTTAGCGAGTTATAGGGACATTCCATATTATGGGGGGGGGGGGGTGTGAGGGTAAGGGTTTGTGTTAAATAAATGGCGACTACTACTAATCCTAACCCCCTATAATATGGGATTATCCTAAATCTAGCGTGATGTGTTCGCTAAACAGAAAATAACTTTTGTGTGTAGTCTGTTGGTCCTATTCACGTTTTCCGGCCCATATACACATTGCCTGACCTTTCATTAATACTTTCTCAAACTCTTCTCTGTAGGACTATTAAGAAGGAAATACTGGCCCAGTGAGTCACCACTGTACACAAAGTTGTAGGGGACTAAAAATGAACTTATAAAAACAGTCAAGTTTATCACAAGAACCTGTCTGTCGGTGTAAATCAAAAAGCGAACACAGGAAGAAGAAGAAGAAGAAGGACTAAAAAGGAACTCATAAAAACAGTCAAGTTAATCACAATAACCTGTCTGTCGGTGTAAATCAGAAATCGAACCAGGAAGAAGAAGACGCGTCTACGTTGGAGGGGGGGGGGTGTCACGTTGTCTTCCCTCCAATTACATCAGAGCCTATGTCGCGTGTTCAATACTACACGACAAAACAGATTTCAAGGACCCCAGAACACGTAGAACAAGCACAAACACCCCTACCCACAGTCTCAGCCTAGGTCCCACGAGAGACTCCCCCAAGAAAACAGTACAACCTGACACCCCTTTGACCTAGATCGAGTGAAAAAGTGTGTAGATGGACCGGGAAACGTAAACAGGTCCGCAAATTCTTCTGCTAATTCTACAGTTGTAATAATAAAAAAAAAAAAAAAGACCCAGAATGATTTGAGTATGACTACACAATCTGTAATAACTACAAGAAGTACTGCATTTAGAATATCACGACACTTCCGGTTCCCCTTGATTACCTCCCATGTCATCATACAGCTCTATTAATAAGTTATCACATGATTCAGAATCAGTATCATTACCATTGGCCCATGCGTTTTTATGCCTCGCTAAGCATATATACGAAGTTACAGTTGGTCAGGGATCCTCACACTGTTGTTTTGGTGGCATCAAATAAAACTAGTCTGATGATTTAGGAGTTACGAATGCGGTTTATAACTTTGAAATACCCTGCTCGATTACAGCTGCAGGTGATTTCGTAGAAGATCGCTTTAGCTTGATTTCGACATCGGTATGGAGGGCCAGTCGTGCAGGTACAGTCACAGGGTCGGATCCCCATCGAATTGGATATTTTTTCTCAAAACACGGCCCTGGCTCACAGGTCGACTCAGTTTAAAATGGGTGCTATGCAAAATTACGGAAAGTAAAGGAGGCCGGCGTCATGTTGCCCCATCATTCGTCTAGTGCTGATTAAGTCCTGTTCACGTTTGTCCGCCCACCTGACATTTCCTTTTATTCATACTTTCTCAGACTCTTCTACGTCTGAGGGGTGTCACATTGTCTTCCCTCCAATTACATTAGCGCCGGTGTCGGGTGTTCTATATTACACAAAGACACAGCTTTCAACGACCCCAGAACATGTAGAACTAGTTCTAACCCAACAGCCCCCCCCCCACCCACCCACAGCCTCAACCTACGTCACACGGGAGACTCTTTTTCACAGAAAGTGTGTTGATGGGCCAGGAAACGTGAACAGGGCCCTGGTTTGACTATAAACAAGATAAGTCTAACATTAAATGCTGGATAGGCTACTGATGTGTTTAGTATATAACTGACGTTTAGTATATAACTGACGTTTAGTATATAACTGACGTTTAGTATATAACTGACGTTTAGTATATAACTGACGTTTAGTATATAACTGACGTTTAGTATATAACTGACGTTTAGTATATAACTGACGTTTAGTATATAACTGACGTTTAGTATATAACTGACGTTTAGTATATAACTGACGTTTAGTATATAACTGACGTTTAGTATATAACTGACGTTTAGTATATAACTGACGTTTTCATAAAAGTGAACGCACAATATATGACATTTCACGCAGAATTTCTCGACACGACAAGCCCTGGGCGGGTGAGGCTTAATCCCCACCAGGACCGCACAAAGAGCAATAAACACCCGGTGACACAAAGTGCCACCATTCAAAATAGAGTTACCTCCCGGCGCAAGTCCCGGAAACCCCCTTCAAACATTAGGTTATATTAGAGGCCCCGACAACAGCCGGGATGGGGGCTTTAAAATAACCAAAATACTGCCTCCCTATACAGTGGGGTTCCCCATGTGGGTTGCTGGGCTCTATTATAGGGAAAACAAGAATAGACCTATTGCCTGCCCAAAAGCATACCATAAGAGTCGACTAATTGGAAGTGTCCTTCAAAGTCGGAGTGCAACTGCCTGAGCGACAAGGAACCATCAGCCTGCACACAAATGAGTCATATCTGTAAAACGGATGCACACGCAACACTCAGGTCCTGGAACAGGCCTGCAGTCAAGAAGTGGATGAACAACGAGAACTTTCCGCCAGAGTTTACAGCTGGTGACAGCGAAGAAGAAGAGGAAGAAGTGACGGAGACATTAGTAAGACAAGCCTAGCTGGTGACATATCTTCCAGTGTTAAGAACCGCTGTACTAGATATCTACCTTATCACAAGCCATATTGAAGTGAGAAGCCAAGCTTCAGCCAAGTTGAAATGTTGACGTCTGAATTATTTTTGACTAGAAAAACGCCATTTCTAAAAATACTTGGACGTTACACAGTGAAATCACACTCGATTTGAACCCACAGCTTGAGTTGTTGTGAAGTAATCGCAGTGGTAGAGCAGCTAGACCCTCACCTGCAGGTTAGAAGGTGATGGGGTTGGGTCCTAATGGAGCCTGACTTTTTTTCTCTTTAAAAATGACCTTTGCTCCCAAGTGGACCCAGCGTTATATGGGTACCTGGTGGAGTCCTCGGAAGTAAAAGCGCCCGGTGTGATATTGACTATATCACCCACCAAGTGACGATAGCCTTTTAGAAAATAGGTCTAGCCCTACATACCCAGTACGACTAAAAACGTGGGAAACGGTTCTTTACTTTTAACACAGAGATGTATTTATTATATCTCATTGTGTTTTCTTTTTATTAGTAACCACGGAAATGAGATATCTGAGAAGGGCTGTAAGACTGACCATAAGAGAGAAGATCAGGAATAAGATCATAAGAGAAAAAGTCGGCACAGAACCAATTCTGGATTACATACGAAGACAGCAAGTGAAATGGTTTGCCCACTTAGAGAGAATGCCTTGTGACACCATACCATACAAAGCATACATGGAAAGAGAAGAAGGACGTAGAGCACGGGGTAGACCAAGAACAAGATGAAAGGATAACATCAGAGAAACTCTACAACAGCACGATGTGCCTATGGTCGAGGCGGCCAGAAAAGCTAGAAACAGAACCTTATATCTCCCTCGACACACACAGCGGTAAAAGAGGAAGTGAAGAAGAAGAAGAAGATGTATTTATTGTGAAGCAGTCACCGTGGTGTGTCGGCTAGACGCTCGCTCGCAGATCCGAAGATGCTGGCTTCAGAACCTAGCAGAGCCGGACTTTTTTCATGCATTATCTCGGCTGCTAGATCGACCCAGCCTCAGAGGGAAACCAGGTGAAGTCCTGGGAAGTAAAGGCGGCTGATCACATCACATTCAAGTCCTGAATGGTCTATACAAATACAGGTCTAGCCCTATAAGGCCAGTTCGCCTGTAGTGGTGGGAAAGTGTCATATGTGTTCAATACGCTATTTATCAACACAGTGACACAAGAAGAAGAAGAGGAAGAAGAGGGGGAAAAAAGAAGAAGAAGAAGAAGAAGAAGAAGAAGAAGAAGAAGAAGATG